CGCCCCCCGCAGCCATCCGCGCAGCTGACAGACTCACTCTGAGGCAGAGGTCCTCCCATTGTCTGTGCAAGTGCTCAGTCTGCTCCTGCAGGGCCAGTGCGTCCTCGGCCAGAATGTGCGCGGTCAGGTCGGCTTTCATGGTGTGTAGTTCTTTCAAGTTCTGAGTCCAGTTAGCCAAAGACTTCTCCAGTTCCTGCATTCAAACACAAGACGGGCGGGGCAGAGTAACCAACTCCAGCTGCTGTGGTTTCCAAACCTGTAGCTAAGCCTTTGATTAGCTCTGGGGGAGGGGAGGCCAGGAAGGGGAGGGACCTGGGAAGGAGAAGCAGCCGTCGGCCCTCGTCCTGCTCCAGCTTCACCTCCTCAGGTCCTAGAACTCTTACAAGTTTCATTCGTTTTAAAGTCATGCAGGTGTCCACTTTTATGTAGAGTACAGTAATGTGGAGTCTAACGACAATCCACGCACACATTTTTAACCCAGAGACAACTTTACCGAAGCCTCATATGAAGTAAGGATAACCTAAGAAATGCAGGTGGGTGCTGATGACCACAATTGTTATTCAAATCGAATTATTTTCAGCTAACTTGCTAAAAACAAATGAATATGATGGGAGAAAAGTAATCTCCTCTGACGTGCAAACGTCTATCTTACTTACTGTTTTTACCCAGGGCCTCATGCATGTCAGGCAAGTACTCTACCACTAAGCTATATCAGCTCCGTCTATCTTTTAAAATAGTTGAAGTGGTTTTCAAATTAAAACTCCCAATTCTAGGATTTAATCAGGAAAATTACCTTGCCATACAGAAGGTGAAAGGAAATAGTCAAACCACTCAAAAGTCTTTCAGGTTTTATTGTTTAGAGTTCTTCTATATGGCATTAAAGGGTCTCCATTCCTACCTTTCATCTGAAATCTGAAGGAAGATAAGTCATTTACACTAAAAATTAGTCTGAAGAGTGGCACAATAAATGTTTAATTCTGATTGAGTTTTAAAGTCCTAAAGGCCACAGTGGCATGATTTTACAATTTGCCAACAAGAATTTGTGTTGAATAAAATGGTCTAGAGAATTTATTTTATTTTATTTATTGGTACTAGGGATGGAACTCAGGATTGCCAGGCAGGTGTGGCACCGCTGAGCTACATACCCGGACCTGGAGAATTCTTTTTAAAGACTGCACAGAGATGAAGAAGTGACATCTTTGTCAGAGAAAAATCTTTCCTTTAAAACTTTGTTACCTAACTTTAGACTCATGATTGCTTTAGACTTACGATTCCATTACAGTGCAGGACAACAGCTGCAACGGAGCACTGTGAATGGGCACATAACCTGAAGGGGCAACCTACGAGCCGGGTATGCAGCACTTCAGTCCGATTCCAGGAGGCTCTGCTTCAGGGCACTGCTCAGAGGTGCTGGCTCTGATGCCCGCACAGTAGGCAGGTGGTTTCAGTTATCCACAGCCTGGTTCGAATCAATACTTGCAATATATACAATGAAAATAATACAGATAGTACAACTGAGGCCATAGGAACACTCCCCTGCCCTCACCTGAACCTGGACAGCCCCTTGACCTCTGTCCTAAGGCTTACTATCCAGAGGTAGAGATACGAACAACAAAGAGCCCTGGAAAATTCAAAATTGTGAAAGCCCAAACCAAGGATGCATGTGTACCATAGTCTCTGGCATGACCTACAGTAATCTGCCTTCACTTGGAGCTTATTAAACATTTATGCACAGGGATTGCACCTCATACATCCAATTATGACAGTGAATTATGGGAAAGGACGTGCACAATAGATACAGCACCCTGTCAATCACGTCAGTCCTGCTTTGGGAGACCCAGTGAGAGGTTTCCCTACGCCCAGCACAACAATTTGAATTCTGAAACCCAGCACATTCAGTGCCCATGCCATTTTCCTGTCCACCATCCACTCATTATACCTAGTTTAACTTCATTAAATTTTGCTGTTTTTTCCTTATCATCATGTGCCAAGTCCAATTCTTTGTTCCTCAAGCACAAGAACCTAGAAACTGATCCAGGACCCCATCACCTATGGCATCAGAAAGGTATAGGATTATTTTGTGGTGGTGCTCCGTGCAGATGGAACCCAGGACCTTGCACATGGGTGAGCACTCTACCACTGAGCTATATCCCCAGCTCAGGGTGGAGGAGTTTTGAATACGGACAGTTCTATGATTTTTTTTTTTTTTTGGTACCGGGGATCGAACTCCGGTCCTTGTGCTTGCGCAGCAGGCGGCGAAACCACTGAGCTAAATCCCCAGCCCAGTTGTATGATTTTTTAATAAATACTGCTAAACCGTATCTTCAAAGGAAAGACTGTATCTCTTTCTCCACATATTTTTCACTTTGAATTTTATATGGGTTGGGACAAGTTGAGTATGTGGAATGAAACAGTTATTCTTTACATCTGCATTAGTAAATTATTACCCTAGAATGATACCCAGCTGTTATGGCTTAGATCTAAGTCACATGTTGGGAAGCTTGGTTGCTAGCTTTGGAAGGTGATTGTAACACAAGGGCTCAAACCTCATCAGTGGACTGACTGAAGGAGGGAGTCATAATTTGATGGCATTTTGGGAGGTGATGGAAACTTATGAAGTGGGGCTCATAGAAGGAAGTCGATACTGGTGGACTATACCTTGTCCCCACTTTTTCTCTCACTCTCTTTGGATCATGAGGTGTGAATCTGTGAGGTGAGCATCTCTGTACAACCACACCCTTCTGCCATGATGCTCTGTGACCACAGGCCTAGTTCAATGGAGCCAAGTTACCGTGGACTGAGACCTCTGAAACCGTGAGCCAAAATTAACCTTTCCTTTTTTATCTTTTCTCAGGTATTTTGTCACAGTGACAGAAAGCTGACTAATATGCCATCTTTCACCCTCATGTTCCCATGAAATATTTATAGTTAATTCCAACTGAAAGTATTGAATCTTAGATACAATGGCAGTTTCCTTAGAGGAATCTTCTCCAAGTCCTTGCACAAAGTTGGGACCCCTCTTTTATGATCTCATTGTCCGCCTCCCACTCACTATACTACAGTTATTTATACACATAAATACATACACACATACGTAATATAGCTATTTGTTGACACGTGTCCCTCTAGTAGACTGTACTGTCAGTAGGGACAGTGACAACACTGCTCATTGAGGCATTGTCTAGCACCTACCCTGGTGCCTAGGGTATAGTAAGTCCTCAGATAGCATGGCTGCAAGGAAAGCAGTGTATAAAGAATGTGTATCAGGAGCTTTCAAATGTTTATAAATACCATGTGAAAAAAAGCAGGGAATCAGACTATCAGAGGAGGTCCACTGTGGATGTTATTACAGTTGATGATCACTACTGGTACTAATATTTTTAAAAACTATGCTTCTGTCTTTGTATTGAAATGTTAGCAAACTGACTGGAAAAGAAAGTCAGTCAAATAAGTTTACCTTTATCAAACCAGATAAATGGTCTGTGCTGCAAAAATACCTGTAAATTTCCAGTTGTTCATACAGTGTGTGACGTAAAACTTCGAAATGATACATAGGAGAGTACACTGCTCAGACTTTGGCTGGATTCTCTACAATTGCTGGACAGCTAGTGGAGCCTTTTCCTATGGACTCAAATACTAGAGGGATCAACTCCCATTTCTCTATGCAACCATATGGGTAATAAGAGGACCCCAAAACGAATATGTATCTAATCAAAAACTGGCCTGCATACACATACAATATCTTTGGAAGAATACACAGCAAAGTGATCAACACTGATTGTTTCTGTGGGGAGGAACTGATAGGAGAAAACTTTTTCATGTATTCCTTTTCCATCTTCTGAATTTTGAACCATGTAATTATATTACATATTCAAAAATTATTTAAAAATTAAACCCGTCCTGCAGAGGAGGAGGCTTCCAGGCCACCATAGCACCGCTCCCAGTGCAGAGGAGGTGAGCTCCGCAGGCACCAGCAGCACAAATCCCCGCCACCACCACCCTGAAATAAGAAGACATGTAAATAAGCCTCAAAACCAGACTTCCAGATCACCTACAGCAACCCCAAAGAGAAACAAGATGGAACACTCTGATATTCAAACACCTGGACTCCCTGAACTGGCAACAAAAAAGGATCTGGAAAAAAGGAAATCAGAAATAATTTCTCAGATAACAACAGAGATTGTGACCATAGTGCAAGACATGATTAATAAATCTAGGGCGGACATAGATAAAAAAATAGAGGAGCTGAGGAACATGATGGAATCCCAACATAGGAAACAAATGGAATCCATAAAAGAGATGCAAACAGATTTCCAGGAGACAAAAAACTCCACTGAAAAGTTTATGCAGCAGAATGGGCCAATGTGAGGATAGAATTTCAGATATAGAAGATAAGACTGCAATTAGTGACCAGGAAAAGAAAAATTTCTTTTAAATTGTAAGGGACCATGAGAAATCAATCTAGCAGCTGCTAGGTGATGCAAAGAAGAATAACATAAGACGGATTGGAGTCAATGAAGAAACAGGAGAGGAGAAAAAAAAAAAACACAGGAGAGAGTGCAGATGACATTAAAAAAACTTCACAGAAGTGATAGTAGAAAACTTCCGAAGCAGGGGAAAAGAATTTGACATACAGATAAGGGAAGTATATAGGACTCCAACTACTCGTGATCAAAAAAAAATCTACACATAGGCATATAATAGTAAAGATTACAGAAACCCAACAGTAGAACAAAATTCAACAAGCAGTTAGAGAAAAGAAATAAATCACATACAAAGGAAAGCCCATCAGAATCACAGCAGACTTCTCAATGCAAACCCTCAAGGCAAGAAGAGCTTTGAGTAATTTATTTCAAGCCCAAAAGGAAAACAGCCTCCAACCCAGATTGACCTAGCCTGCAAAACTATCTTTCCAAATTGATGGAGAAATAAGATACTTTCTTGACAAAGAGCACCTTAGGAACTTCATGAATACCAAACCAGCACTCCAAAAAAATTTAGACAATATCCTAGGAAAAGACAACAAGGATCACAACCCCAGGAAGCCCAGCAGAATGAATCCATTGGGCATGACAAGAAATTAAACGCAAAGGGGGAGAATCCAACAAAAATAAAAAGTCATGACAATGATAAGTCAATACGTATCAGTTATAACCATCAATGTTAATGATCTCAATTCACCAATCAAAAGAA